TTTTTGTTGAGATGTCCAAATGACATCGTTTTAAATGCTTTTTTGGGATTACAATGGTAATTACAATGTGACAACTTGCTTTAACGACATTAGCACCTGACTGAAAAGACAAAAAGTAAGAGAGGGACGATAAGAACGTACATCCTTTCCAATTTTAAAATTCTAGTCCTCTTTTTTATTTCTCGAAGAATCAACATCGAGACAACTCTATTTTTAGCCCTAGCCAAACCCTAGATCCACGCTACCACCACCACCACCACCTCAGCCCTCCACCGGTTGTCGATCTCGTTTGTAGCTCATTCTAGCCTCGTAATCTTATAATTATTAAATATTTACATTCGATTATTTCGTGTTATCAACTTTTCTTCATGGTCAGGATATTACATAATAGCGACCCGACATACTAACTATAGCTACGCAAATAAGTTGATAGTTGAAATTGGGTTCATTTCAGATTATTTAAGCAAGTTAAATTGTTTGAGTTGTTGTAATTTAAAATGATTATGTGCACTGATAGTATATATTTTTTTTGTTTATATAAATAAATATTTTTTTGAACTATTGTATATAAGTTTGTATTTTAAATTTGAAATATATTTTAATTATTATTGTTGTTGTTGTTGTTATTATTATTAGTGGTATTCCCTCATATCTATTAATGGGGATGTCACGCTCCTACGTGTCGAATTTTTGGTGATTGTAATCTTATGTGTCGAATTATTGTGCTTTATAATCTATATATCAATTTTTGACAATCCATGTAGATCTAGATTCTATCTATACATATTTTGACTTTTAAAATTATAAACTACTTGACTAACTTATATTACAAATAAATTTAAAAGTTAATAACTTTTATATTTATTATCAGTTTTTCATATATAATACATCAAATTAATCATTCTTTTGACGACCTTCAATTTTATATGCATATTGTCTATATAAAATAAATAAATAAATAAACATTTCTAAATTTCTTTATTAAAAGAATAAATAATTTATTAATATTTAATACTAATTAAAATTTAACATAAAATTATATACAAATAAAAAATGTTATCTATAATCTATTACATATGAATTAAAAAGTTATCATAATATAAAAATGCCAATAATACGCATGAAAAAGTAGCATTTTAAATAAATAATAATATAAATTTTAGAAAGTGTTAAAATTGAAATAAAAAACTCGCTCTTACATTTTTAATAATGTAAATTTTTTTTAAAAAAAATTGAAATTTGAATAAAAAAACTTCTCTGTTATATTTTTTTAAGAATTTCAATATAAATTTTTTTAACTAGCACATATGTAATCACAAGTAATATACTAGTTATTATTTATATCACATGACACTCGTCACCTGTGCAACGTAACCTCTCCTGTATTTTAATATATTTTTAATTCATAAATAACTTTATTCAATTGATAATTACTTTTATTATTTCTAGTTAATATTGATACATAATTTAATTTTTTATTATAAAGTTAAAGATATATTTATTTACGTATATCAAATTAAAAATTGTCAAAAGATTATTAATTTGATTATCATATATAAAAATCTGATAACAATACGAATGTTATTAACTTTAAAATATATTTATAATTTAAGTTAATTAAATATTTTATTCAAAATTCCTAATGGACAAAATATAACTCCAGTATATATGGATTACTCCAAGCCATTATAAATTGACATTAGGATTACAAAACATCAAATTCGACACATAAGATTACCAAGGGTCAGAAGTTGATAAAGTAGATTTCAAACTATGCATCTGTATATACAGGACACATAAGCTTACGAAGCACAAGAAGTTGACAAATAGGTTCGAGAAACTCTACATTTATACATAGAGGAGATATGTATACTCATATATTATAAAATATCATACTATTATTTACTTCAAAATATATCACTTCTTAACGTGTGACATTTCATTATGAAAGTATATATCATTGTTAAAAAAATATGATACTAACTTCAATTTCCCATAATCGAATCTGATATTCGATTCTAAATATTCGTTCTCATCTAGCTCACTTATAGGCAATACAAGCTTCAACATTGAATATATTAGTCATGAATCTTGTGTATATGGACAGATCAAAATAAAATAATAGAAATCATATTTATGCATATTATATTTAAAATCATAAGTTATATAACTGGAATATCACATTCAGTAGATTTAATAATTAGTAAAAATAAACAATATAATTATAAGTTACTTTACTTATATATGAATCGATATATAAATTGTATAAAATACAATGAATACTGTAACTTTTACAAATTCAAAGTTTGTGACCAATTATTTAGTTGAAAAAATATTAAATTATTAATATCATAATTGTTTACGTGATATTAAAGAATTTGCTATGCCATTATAACCAATCACTCATCTAAAATTCTTTTAATGAGATAAAATTAAAAGGATAATATCTATTGTAAAATAAATAACTTTCATTTACCTTTTAATGTGAATTAATAATTAGTTAATATTAGTAGTAATTAAAAAATGATGTAATAGATATAAAAATATTATTATACTTAATTACTTTAAAATGTAACAATTAGTGTCACAATTAAATAAAAAATATAGACGTAAAAATTTCACTAAAAGAATAGCCTCTAATTATATATATACATTTCGATCCTAAACACAAGAAGAAATGTAAATAAAGTATTGCAAGTTATATTTATGCAGTACATAATTAAGTACATATAAATCACTATATTGATTGTATAAAATATAATGAATAATGTAATTTCTATTATTTTAAAAGATCGTATCCAATTATTTAGCTGAAAAAATATTGAATTTACTACTATTCTACAACAATTGTAACTTGTTTATGCGATCATAAGGGTTTCACTATATTATTAAGACTAATACACAAATGAAAACAAATAAAGCAGCAACACAATTGCTCATATCAAATCCACAAACAACCACCACTGCCCATTTAATTCAACAACCATTGTTCATACCAATTCACCACTTCATCATACACAAGTTCAAAAGAAGCCAAAAGATCAAAAGAAACCTCCACCATATGCTACATGCATTGTTCACAGCACACCCAAGTTCCAAGTTCCAAAAATATTCATAAAACATAACCAAAATATATTACTTCAACAAACAAGACACTGCAGATAATGGAGGAAATGAATAGAGGACTTATGGCTTACTTGAAGAAGCAGCCTCTTTAGTGCCTTTCCTTGCTCCCTTTGATGTTGTTGCCTATAAAATAAAAACAAAAAAACCAAACAACCTTTGATTTCATAAAAGAAACAATATAAAAGGAATACATAAACATTAAAATAGAACAAGACATAAGTAACTCACACTCATTTGGGATTGAGGCTGGGATTGAGGCTGACTTGCAGAAAAGAGGGATGCATGTGGGAACTCATCTCCTTGAGTCAACTCCTCAGCTTCAGCTTCAGCTTCCATGTCAAAGGCACCATCTTGAAGTCCACTTTCAGCCAGCTTCTTCCACCCACAGGTTCTTTGATTATGCCCCTTTTGATGGCAAAACCTATAAGTCATCTGTCCCCTTTGATTTGGAATTTTCTGTCTATATTTGGTTTTTTTACCACCACCCTTATCTTCACCTACTCCCATCCTTCTCTCCCTCACAGGCCTACCCCTTTTTCTTTTTCCAAAATTTGGAGGTAATGGAGGAATGTATCCTGTCCTATCCCACAGATTAGGTCCAGATATTGGATTAATGGCTACTTCATACACTTTGGCATAAGTTTCACATGAATAACATTCATCCACATAGTCCACTGGTTGATGCCCTTGTGCCAATAATGCACTGCATGCATGCTTGCACGGAATTCCAATTAAATCCCATTTCCTGCAGCTACATGTTCTGTCCTTCAAGTTCACAATGTATCTATCACCACCACTACAATTTAGCTGGTAAACCCAATCAGTGGATTTGATTGGTATGCAATCACATGACTTGCTTTCATGACTATCCACAATTTTTCTGATCTTAGGACATATCTTCTTACCCTCCCACTTTCTCTCAGCCATGTCCCTATTCTCTTGCAGCCTACTCATCAAGTACTGCCTCACCATTCCAGCATGGTTAGGATTGGTTTCTACCTGGCCTCTAGAATACAACTATTGAAGACCTCACATATGTTATTAAGCAACATGTCTGATTTAACAGATGTAGTGAAGTGAGATTTTGACCACTGTTGTGCAGGTTTTTCTTCAAGCCATTCCTTGCATTTTGGGTCAATTTCTCCAACCCTTTTCATTGCCTCTTTAAAATCAGAAAATGTTGTTGCTTTGGTTGCTCTCCATAAAGCCTTCTTAAATGCAAGTCCTCTGAACCCAGCTGTCTGCATGTTGGCATGTAAATGTCTCACACAAAATCTGTTATGAGACCTGGGAAACACATCTTCAAATGCAGGAATTAGGCCCTTCTGTTTGTCAGATATAAAGGTCCACTCCTCCTCATTAACAATATCCAAATCAGACTTCAGATTCCTCAGAAACTAGGACAAAAAATCTTTTGTTTCTCCCCCAACAACTGCATATGCCACAGGATATGGATTGTTAGAAGGATCTACCCCAACAGCTGTGAGTAGAATTCCACCATGCCTACTCTTCAAATGGCAACCATCAACCCCAATTAACTTTCTACATCCAGAAATAAATCCAGCCTTCAATGGGGCTAAGAAAATGTAGATTTTTTCAAACTTTTTCTGTCCATCAGGACCAGGGGCATCTGTAAGTGTCAACAGGATGGTGCTTCCAGGATTTTTCTCTCTCAATGTTTCAGCATAATCCCACATTTTGGCATATTGGTCTGCATGGTCACCCTCAATTGCCTTCAAAGCAAACTGCTTGGCTCTGAATGCCTTGTTCTAGGATACATGGCACCTTAGATCACCAATTGCATCTGTCCTGAAACCCCTGAGTGATCTTTCAGGGTCACTTCTGAATGCTTCTTCATATTTGTCTGCAATCCATCTTGATGTCAAATTCTTCACTTTCCAAGATCTTGCACAAGAGTGCTTGTAATTGTAAGACCTTATCATGTAGGCTTCTTCATTGGTCACTTTAATGGCATTAATTGCCCAGGGACACCCATTTGCCTCTTCATAACACCTAACATAAACTCTTCTTTTATCATTTTTGGTAAACGCGCGTTAGACCGGGCAGAAGATGGGGTTGTAGAGCATCTTTACTTTGATCCTTCCAACTTCAAGCTTCTGTGTGTTAGCACTCCATGGTTAGCAATGGCTTGCTTAAACATCTTCTTGGAGGGAATCTTCTGGCCAAGTTCAAACTTTGGATGGTTAATATGCCTCTCATTGAAGACATTACTCTCAGTTTCCTCATTTTTCCTAGTTTGTTTAACTGAGTCACTGCAACTAGAGAAATCATCATGACTGCTATCATCTGTGCACTTGGAACTAGAACTATCAGTGGACATTTCATCATCAACCACATGTTGGTTCTCTTTCTGTTTAGGCCCCTCCACACACTCCTCTGCCTCAACATATTCTTCAAAAAGTATATCATCAAAACCACTGTCAGTGTCCCTACTTGCACAAAAGTCCTCATCCACAGATTGGTCACCCTCATCCTCAAGCACACTCCTATCTCCATCACCTACAGGCACACTCCTATCACCATCACCTACAGGAACACCCCCATCACCTACAATAACACCTCCATCACCTACAGAAACACCCCCATCACCTACACTCCTATTTCCTGTTTTCTCAGCAACTAACCATATATGGACTTCTCTCTTCTTATGCCTATCAATAGCCAATAAAAAATCTGTTTCCATGGTTATCTCCCTGAACTTTTTGAAGGAGTCAAACCTGTAAAACCTTTTGACTCCACCATAACCCATCTCCTCATAGAATCTACCCAAGTCACCCATGTTAACCTTACTTTTGTCCACATAATCAAATGCACTAATCTCTCCTCCCACATACCTCTGATGTCCTGGAGTTATATCATCCATTATAACCCCATCATGGTGTATTTTCAAGGTAAGGTAATAAGGGTCTTTTCCACCTACAATTCAATAACATGAAACAAATAAAAAATTTGATACAATGGACCACCATCACTTGTAAAAATAAACAACATAACAATAAAGTTCATGGACCACCACTGAAATTGTCTACTTGAAAATGAACATAACAAATTCATGGACCACCACTCTCAGTCATCACAAACATTAGTCCTAGACCACATACATTAATCCCAATGGACCACCACTCATCACTCATCAGTCATTAGTGGACCACATACATTAATCCCAACATTACCAATTACATTGTAAAGAATAAACACTAAAGCCCTAATTTATATGATAAAATAAACCCTAAAGCCCTAAATTGTCAAATAAAATAAACCCTAAAGCCCTAAATTATCAAATTCCATCATCTACTATATATACAGAACAAAAACCCTAAATAATGTACAAAACTAACATAACAAATGCCGAATGTTAACAAAATTGAAAAAAAAGCCATGCGAGTGAAAGAAGAGTCACGAAAATAAATGTTACCGTATTTCGGGTTTGAAGAACACGCTGCATCCTCTGAGCGAAGCATGTTGCACTGCCGGCGTCTAATTTCAGTTTTATCTAAGGTTCATGTCGATTTTTGTGATGAATTTGGATGGAAATCTCTGCCCTAATTTTGGCAGAGAGAGAGAGAGAGTTTTCGATTTTGTGTTTTCAGAGTGACGGTTCGATTTTCTAACAGATAACAAATTAAAAATAACGACTAACGTGGTTGACTAAGAAGACTGTCAAGTCCAGACGGTTTGGTACCAAATTAGCAACGAAAAATCTAAAAGGACCAAATTTGCATTGCCTGGGACCAAATGTGGGAAACAGCAAAAGTTTTGGGACCAAATTCGCAATTTTCTCGTTCTACCTTATATCCATCCAACTACTATTCTATGTTGTAAATTTCCACACATATAAAACACGTTTTTGTTTGTATTTATTAAGTAAATATGTATACTTTTAGTATATAATAATAAAAATTATTATTTTTTCTTAAGTTATTTTTATCATTCAAAATTAATTGAGATTTAAATTTTATTTTAACCATGCAACGTTTACATTAGTAACATGAATAAAATAATTTATATATTTGTGACATATATTTAGAAAATTAACATAAATAAATAAAATTATTGGTGTTTTTGATTTTTAGAAGAAAAAAAAATGTGTCAATCATATTTTTCTTCCAACAATGCAATCAAACATAGCGGTCAGCTCTGAATGTGTCAATCAACTTTAAGTTCCAATATTAGCCGTTGCACATCTGAATATTTTGCTACCAAATTTAGAATTAATTTAGTAACTAATCCAAAAATTAAATAATAAAAATATATATATTAAGGTGTAACAGTTTTAGCAAATTAATGAGTAATTAATTAAAAAAAATGTAACTCCTCCTAGAGAGAAATGAAAATAAGTTTTATTAAATGTTTTATTAAATGCAGCAGTCTGTAATTATATATATATATATATATATATTTCTGTGGCAGGGTTTCGAAGTTCATATATATCCGAAACATTGATACCAGTGGAGCGCAGAGTAAAAAATATTTTATTATTTAAGACACTATGCAATTTTATTAGACACAATATTCAATTTAATACAACAACAACAACCCAGTATATTCCCAACAGGTTGGGGTATGGGGGGTCAGTTGTACGCAGACCTTACCCTTGTAATTATATAAGGAGGCTGTTTCCGTAATGACCCAAGGTGCATTGCGCCGTTTGATATATTTTTTTTTAGAAACTTCACTAATAGAAGAGGCACTAGAATTTAATTGAGTCATTTTGATCTAGTCCATTATTAGCACTATGCCAGGAGAATTGTCAACAATGACTCTTCCAGCTCCATTTGCAATGGACAAACAATAATAATATAAAATTTAATAATAATATAAAATTTATTTAGTTACTATTATTTTTTATTTTTATTTTTATTGATTTTGTTGTAGGTCTTGACTTATTTCATATATAAATTTTAGTATTTCTAAGTTTATCAAATATTATAAATGTATAAATTACTTACATATGTCTATAAAATTATCAATTATCTTAGTCTTATTTAACAGTTGATAATTGTTATATTGCTCGATGGTTGACCAATGTGTAACCTATAATATTTATCTTCCTTTATTACAATTTTAAGTGTAGGAAATATTAAAATGTTTGATAATTAAATTTAATTATTTTTAACTTTAATCCTTATACAACACAAAATTTTCATGATTTAATATTTTATCTTTGTATTGTTTATTTATTTAATTCATTTTTTCACCCTATTTAGTTAGTTAAGTGGTATCCATTTGATGATTCAGATATATAATATACTAGTACGATACCCGTAGACTACACGAGTACTTCAATATATTAATATTTGTATAATAAATAATTAAAATTATTTATATTTTTAGTGTGAAATTACGTATAATGAATAGACAACTAGTACGAATCCCGTGCGATGCACGGGTAAGAGATATTCATTAATATT